GTTAATTTGCATATACTCACTGATTAGCCAATGGGAAGGGTAGCGGTCGTACGCTAATTACCATAGTTCTCTTTTATTAGTGTAGATATATTGTAAAATATTTCACCTTTGCTGTTTGTTGAAAATTTTCATGATAGATGCTGGGGAAAAAAGTTACTCCAAAGTCACATGTTTTTAACTACTATAAGGAACTAAGGATTTTTAAATGGAATTATTGAGTAGCTGTCAAACATAACCCACTCTTCTGTACCTGAGTCCATGGCTTCGCTTCTTGATTTCTTTCTTTTGCCATGAAACGCCTTCTTTTTCTGAGTTTTCTATAAAAATAACACAGCAAAGAATTTTACTTAAGTTTTTCATTTTCTTTTTTTTTGAGGGGGGAGGGGGTGGCAGGGGAGTGAGTATAAGATTTTTTTGAGCCAAGCTCATGACAATTGCTGGAAAGCAAGTTCACAAATGCTGTTTTCTTTTTCTTAAAAGGATTAAGACAGTATTATCAGACACTGTCAGTTACTATTATAGCCATAATTCTTATTTACTTCTAAGTTAATATTAGTGAATTCTACAAATTATCCAAATTGATATAAGGAAACACTGAAAGAAATTAAACTGTCTCCCCCAACCCCCAAAACAACCTTCCAGCGGGTACTTAACAACGGTTGCCTTGGAGGAAGTTGAACTTTTATTATTTGAGGTAACGTGTGGAATCAGCTGCTTCCAGGTTACGATGGAGTAACAGCTCTTGCCATAAACAACTATAAAATGGGGGTGGGGTTGGCAATTTAAATAGGCGTTGGACACTAGGCAAAAAAACCCAAGAAACTCAGAAAGTGAACCAAAAAGCACGTAACTAAAAAGAAAAAGTGCTTGGTTGGTGTTTTAGTTTCTTGTGGCAGCTATAATAAATTACCACAACTTGGTGCCTTATTCTCCAGGCAGTTCCGAAGGTCAGAAGTCCAAAATCAGTTTCAACGGGCCAAAACCAAGGTGCTGGCAAAGGCATATTGAGAGCTTAATCAAAAGATATTACATGTCTCCAGTTTCTTGGGATATATTCCTAGAAGTGGGATCACTTGGTCAAATGGGAGTTCCATTTTTAGTCTTTTTAAGGAAACTCCATACTGTCCTCCACAGTGGCTGTACCAGTCTGCATTCCCACCAGCAATGCACGAGGGTTCTTTTTTCTCCGCATCCTCGCCAGCACTTGTTATTTGTCATTTGTTGATGATAGCCATTCTGACAGGTGTCAGAAGGTACTGCATTGTTGTTTTGATTTGCATCTCTCAGATACACCAATCAGAAAGGATATATGCACCCCTATGTTCATAGCAGCACAATTTACCATAGATAAGATTTGGAAACAGCCTAAGTGCCCATCAGCAGATGAGAGGATTAAAAAACTGTGGTACATCTACACAATGGAATACTACGCTGTTATAAAAAAGAAGGAACTTTTACCATTTGCAACAGCATGGATGGAACTGGAGAGCATTATGCTAAGTGAAATAAGCCAGTCAATGAAGGAAAAATACCACATGATCTCACTCATTCATGGATAATAAAGACCATTACAAACTTTTGAACAATAATAGATACAGAGGCAGAGCTGCCTCAAACTGATTGTCAAACTGCAGTGGGAAGGCCAGAGAGGGTTGGGGGGCAGAAGGGAGGGGAGTAAGAGATCAACCGAAGGACTTGTATGCATGCATATAAGCATAACTAATGGACATAAGACACTGGGGGGTAAGGGAGGGCAGGGGATTGTCAAGGGCGGGGAAAAAAAGGACACATATGTAATACCCTTTGTAATACTTT